TCCACATGTGATAGGTTGCAGTCAAAATTTTGTTTCATGCAAAAAATTATTTAAAATATTGAATAAAATTACCATCAGGCTATCTGTATATGAAACATAAATAAATTTCATGTTTAGACTTGGGTTCCATCCCCAAGATATCTCATTAGGTATAAGCCAATATTCCAAAATGTGAAAAAAATCACAAATCCAAAACACTTCTGGTGCTAAGCATTTCATATTAGGGATACTCAATCTGTACAACACTTTAGTTTCTCTCAAAAGAAACTTGATTACCTTGACAGCATCAAAATACTGGCTAAGTTGAGCCCTCTTCTGTTCATATTCTACTTCTAGCTTTCTCAGTTCTTTGTAAATATCCGGATTCTCTTTTTCATAGAGTCGTAGAATACGTTCAAAGGTTTCACGCAGCTTTTTACGCTTGTCTTTCAGTACTTTCTCATTTAACTGTGGCTGTTGCACTGGGTTAAATTCTGAGAGAAAAAGCAGATTACAGAATTAAATACAAAAGGCCACTTGATTTAGGTATCAATAGGCTACAAAATTCAACAAAAACCTCCTTATATACTAAAACTTTTTTAAAGGGATCCAGACACCAGCATACTCTTTTTGATTTTATTCAAAGAACTTATTTATTAAAAATTCATTAAGTTTATTAAAATTCTACCTTTTTCAGATGGCCGTTCATTTTACTTTTTTTTCTCAAAAATGTCACCTACTTGACTTTTATCTTCATTATAATAAAAATCAATTTTCACTTCTCTATGCTGAAAACCTGGTATAGTGAAGTTTCCCTCAGACAGACCTGCATTTACATACAATACTAGTTCTGTCATTTAATTCTGAAATCTTGGGCATTTTACTTGAATTCCCTGGTCTTTGGCTTCCTCATCTGGAAAATGGGGACATCAATTATTTTATAACAAAGCTCTGATGATAAAATGGGATTACAAATAAAATATCCAGTGGTGTTTGGCTTACCACTTAACTGTTATTTATATAACAGATCCACGTTCCTTGTCTGGCTACCACATAACCCTTTTTCTCCCCAACTGATCAGATGGGACTTAATTTGAGGTCTTCTGTCCCACGAGGAATTAGCGTAAGACCACCAGGCCTGCTTGGTCAATCTTATCCCCCCACTTTCCTTTTTGGTGACTACCTCAGAGATCAATTGGCTCACTTCAATTGGGACCAGATCACTCTCTGAGATCTTAAACATAGATGTGGGAGAGAGAAGCTCTCAGATTTTTTTTTCTTACAGATGTTAAGCAGGGATAAAAGAAATCTAGAGCTGTCCGTGGCCTTGTCTCCCAATTACCACTACTTCCACATGCATATTCCACATTCTGTTCCAAGAAGTTTGTCAGCAGTGTGCTAAATGTAGCCAAAAGAGAGTAGACTAGACAGACAGTACCGATGATGATATCTGGGTTTTCAAGGCTGGCTTCCCTCAGGGATTTCTCAACTGGGAACTAATGCTTACTTCTTTCTGCTTTAACTAGTTTGTATTGAGTTTCATAAATTGTAACCAGAACCCTGATGAACAGTGTTCCTTTCTCCCCTCTCCTTGAAGAGTAACAAGTTTATCTTTTTCCTTAAATCCTATTAACTATCAATCTTGGTAATTTATTCAAATCCGAAGGTATATTGTTACACCACACTATTCCTAGTGTGATTAATAAAAGTTTGAATGCTTGAGTTTTAATCCCAGCTTTGCCATCACATAGCAGTGTGACCTTAAGAAAGGTACAGAATCTCTCTGAGCCTGAGTTTCCTCACCTGTAAAATAGGGACAGTGCACCCGCCCTACAAAGTTGTTGTGAGGATTCGATGATAACATGTGGAAAAAAACTGGTGCATAGCAAGGTAAGTTTTTAATAAACCTCAGTTATTACTATAATCTCCTTTAAAAATATAACAATTTTGGGTCATTTAATAGAGGATTCTCTGATACCTTAAGGGAAGTAAATGTCCCTGCTGATACTTAGATGGGAGGCAGTAAGTGGAATCAGTTACAGCTGAAGTAGGAAAGATTTGGGATCCTGTAGCCTGACCCAGAACTCTTGTCCAGGTTAGCTGCACAGGCTCTCCCACGTTATTTCAGAAACCTTGTAATAGCATAATGCCACATGACTCTGTTTTTCTGAATCCCATTTAATGCACCATTGAGGAGTTTCACTTGCAAAGACCACTTTAAAA